GGAAAAAGAAAAAACTAGACACACTGCAGACACACACACACACATATATATATATATATATATATATATATATTTGTAATTTTGTCAAAGTTTCGATGATCCTCATTTGACGTTCCTCATAGATAAGAAAAATATATTTTTCGATCGAAATATAAATATATTTGTGATGGAATAGAATGGAAAATTTTCGAAGCTTAGATCGAGATGTAATATTTCTCTCGATTCTCTCTTCTCTTTTATCCTCGATTTCAGATAAAAAAAAAAAGGAATTATGTGTTCTTACGTGTTCTTATCCCGTTTAATTTTTGAACGTAGATACATTATAAAAAAAAAAAAAAAAGGATCGATCAAAGGATTGATTAAGCGTCTGATATAATATTTTTAAATAATGTTTTACACTTTATGCATAGTTTAAATATTATTTGAAATTCTAATTTCTAAGAAGGGACAATTTCTTTTTGATTCACATGATAAGCAGTATTTTTTTTTTTTTTTTTTTCTATTTGCCAACAAAAAGATAACTCGATTGATTGACGCGACAAAGGAGTGAAAACAGATAAAAGAGAACAAGAAATTAACGATACTCGATTTTTTATGTATGCGTTAATCGCGTATCATCGAGGCAGTGATATTGATTAAAGGTATCTATTCAGATAAGGGTAAAGGTTCCTCCTGATAAGCTTACAAAGAGTATTTCTACTTCATCAAGTTTTGCAGCACTCGCGGATGAACGCTCGAAATATCAACGTTGAATTAAGTAACAAAATCAAAAGATACACGACGATGCAGAAATTTTTGATAATTTTGTTGGCCATCGGGCTCGTTGCTCTACAACCCGGTAAAGTATTACGTTGCCATCCGATATTTTATTATTTACCGTAATCGAATCAACTTTTCCCCCACTTTTATTAAATTATCCATCTTTAAATTCGAAACCATGATATATGATATATTTCGCTCTACATTAGGAGACGCGCTCAAGTGTAAAGTATGCACGGGAAATTGTACCAATCTGAATCAAAATCAGAATCAAGTTCTAGAGTGTAAAGCTCCGGAACCATCGAGCACAGAAGCACCGAGCACAGGATCGACGAGCACAGGATCATCGAATACGGAAGAATCGAGCACAGAAGAATCGAGCACGAACCATCGAGCACAGAATCAACGAGCTCGCAAGCATCGAGCACAGAAGAATCGAGCACGAACCATCGAGCACAGAATCAACGAGCTCGCAAGCATCGAGCACAGAAGAATCGAGCACGAAACCATCGAGCACAGGATCAACGAGCTCGCAAACACCGAAGCCAGAAA